GTTACACCCCAGGCATGTATGCCAGGCCTGAGCTGGGCCTGGAGGGGACAAGGTGGAGTAAGGGGGAGAGGCGGCTTTCCCACACACTCACTGGCCCTGGGCTAGGACTGGGTCTGGGGGTTCCTGGAACGGGGCAGCAATTTCTACTCAGTGGGCGGCGTGGGGGAGGTGCTGCAGAGTGTTGGGGGGCGTCCCAAGGGGGTGGAATAGGGTCTCACGCTGCGCCTGGGCTGGGACCAGTAATCAGTCCAGCTGGCGCAGGGTAGCCGGAAGCTCTCCCACACACTCACTGGACCTGGGCTAGGACTCGGTCTGGGGGTTCCCGGAACGGGGCAGAAATTCCTAGTCGGCAGGCAGGGTGGAGGAGTTGCTGTGGAGTGGTTGGGTGCATCCCAAGGGGGTGGAAGAGGGTCTCAACCACGCTGCGCCTGGGCTGGGACCAGTAGTGCGTCCCGCCGGTGCAGGGTAGCCGGTAGCTCTCCCACACACTCACCGGACCTGGGCTAGGACAGGGTCTGCGGGTCCCCCCCCCCCCACATCAGTGTTCTTTAGGAAACACCGTCTCACTTTGTAGTCCAGGCTGGCTTCAGCAGAGTACTGCAATTACAGATGAGTGCCATCACACACCCCTGGCTTTCCAGTCAGTTTTGGCAGTTCTGACCACGGAGACTGTGATGATTCACTTGTAAGTGGGACGGTGAAAATTGTTCATTCTATTCAGAATGGTGCATATTTAATTGGATATTATGTTTGGATTGTATTGAGACTTGAACTCAGAGCTTCAGCCCTGACTGAGCTATATCCCCAGACTACTACTGCTTCTTTTTTTCATTTTATAGTTTGAGGCAGAATCTTGCTCAATTACCTAGGTTGGGCTTGAATTTATGATCCTCATGTCTAGAGTGCTGGGAATACAGACATGTGCCACCATGCTAGGTTTGGAGTTTTCCATTTTTGACCAGGTTGACCAAGGCTGGAAAGGCAGAGTGTGTGAAGAGAGGACTGCTGAATGCAAAAAACCTGGTGAGGAAGCAGGCTTGGGCCAAGCTGGCTCACAGGTACAGTTAAGTATTCATCGAGGACCTTGATCCTTTTATACCTCTTGCCTTGAAAGAAGTCATATAGTGCACTGATCTGTTTTCCTGCCAAAAAGTAGTATAAAACTAAAAGGTATTTTAGATAGTAGTAAAAAGGATTGTATTTCCTACTTAGTTGCTTTTCTGGGCAAAAAGGTGGTATCAGTTTGTTTCTGAGCTTGTGTCTGAGACTTTATCCTTTTAGGTTGGATTTCATTTTCTCCTAGAATTTATGCTTTGAATTTCTTTCGGAAATCAACAGTGTTTAGTCAGATAATTATGTATTTGTTCACTATGTCAAATTAACTAGAACTCAGAGCATGTAAAAAGGATTTCAAGTGTTCTCCACTCTGAAAGCTCATTTGCAGAAGTGTTCCTATGAGATCTAATGCATTTTGAGCCAGTGTAGCATTGTTAGTGTGTTCATTGTTTAGGAAGAGTATCTGATTCTGAGGGGGACTGACAGCCACAAGTGACCATGGTATCCATCTGTGACAGTGTGTATTCAGAGTGATACCAAAGCTATTTTGGGAGCTGATCTTGGCGGTCCTTCTGGTAGCTTTTTATAGCCACTGTGACTTTGTATAACCAGGGAGGGTGGCTGTTTAGGGTATTTAGGCCCTGGCCTTTTCTTTATCCAGTCTTCCTTTTTATGGAAACTTGGATAAAATGAAAGGCAGATAGAGGTAAGGAGAGGCCAAAGTTCAACAAATTTTGCCACCCAGTTTTTTCCCCCATTCCTCTATTCCTTACTTCAGCTAAAAGTTTTATATATTTTCCTGATCACCTGCTGGCTTGCTTCTCAAGGTGACTTTCTTGCCTCCTGAGCCTTTAAGTCAGTACATAAAATATTCTCATCTGTCCTTTTTCATACCTGAAAGTTTTAGATGTGATCCTGTTGGTAACTTTGTAACTATATATGCTAGTTCAGTGGAAATGTATTACAAATAAATGTTACACAAACTATTGTCAGTTTGTATATTATATAGTAACATTATGTATTTATCTAAAATAAATATACATCATATTTGTGAAATAAGGACAAGTAAAAGTTAAACTTTTTCCACACCTATATGTATCCTGTTTCCCTACTATAATATGCATGTTCTGCTTTGAAAGTAACTTTTAATGACATTAAAGATGGGCCTCATTGTTATTGTGGTAATACCATGTATCAGATCTGGGGGTGGTCTGATACTAAACTAAACCCAGGATTGATCTGTAGGTCCTTG